AAATTTTGAAAAGGGGTCATTTGACCCCGCTTGGTACGTTTAGTGTTAAATGTATATCATTATAGAAGAATTGAAAGTACATACATTATAAAAGATGAAGTTTCTAATTTAATCTTTTATTTTACTGAAATTCTAAATTATTGAAAAATTGATGTTTTTTGCATTTTCTCGAAGAATTATCTGCTGATAATGAAATAGACAGTTCTCTACAAGTTTTCTACAAGTATTTACGATTATTGTAGAGAGAAATGTTGTAAATAAAAGTTAATTTCCAGTCGGTGCAGTAAATATAACAATTTGGATGTAAAAATTTTTCAAAAAGTTGTTTCTTAAAAAAATCTCTGAAAATAACTTTGAACTTTTTAAATAGCAGCTGCATATTTTTGACCATATATTGATATCAAGACGAATTCAACAATCTTAATGAAATTTTATTTCTATTAAATTACATCAAAATGATTATCTTCATCAAATAAAATTATTTACACATCATTTATAGTCACCTTTATAATATACAACGAAATTTTTCTGAAAATAGCCATTTTGATGTAATTTGATGGAAATAAAACAAGTTTTTTCCTTGATCGAGACGAAATCTCGAGAGTCGAGATCATGTTAAAGTCATTGTATAAATGTTCAATTCGTCTTAATGCTCTCTATTGCAATATAAGGTCAAAAATATGTAGTGTTATTTATAAAATTCAAGATTTGAGATTTTTTTCGAAAAAGTAATTTTTTAAAAATTTTTTATATAACTGATTGAAAGCTAATTAACTTTTATTTTGAACATTTTTTTTTATATAATAACCGGAAGTAACCTATAAACTTGTGCTTTATAAATTGTACACTCTGTATATACACATAAAATTTGATAATTGAACTGTCAAAATGGTTTAGCTGTTTAAAAAATATAACAATCATTGGCAGTGGAGGCGTGTTTAAGCGTAGTTTTCTCAAAAACTGTACTTTTTTTTAAATAATATCTTAAGATAAACAGTTCCAAATGTATCGTTATGTTATTATGGCTCATATTAGAGTTAAAATCTTCTTTCTTATCCTTTAATCTGCGAAATATTTGGAAAGAATAAAAAGCATCGATAATCAAGTTTCAAAATTTAGATAAGTTAAGTTAATTTAATTAGTAAAAATTAAATAATTACATTTAAATTGACTTTCTTTTTCCTCGCCCTTATTCTTTGCCATATTCAAATTATCGAATTTAATTAAGAATTTTCGAAAAAGCTTTCCTCTGAAATAAAATTTCAGAGTTTCACCGAGCAATGCATACTACAAAATGCTAATGAAAAAATTCGCATAAATTTTTTGTGCAAAAATTTTGTACGAAAATATACTTGAAAAAGTCTATTCGTAATTATATTCGTAGATTTATTTATTAAACAACAGAACAATGAATAATTTCAAGTGTTTGTAGGACTTATTTTCTTTAGTTCGACAATATTATAATCTAATCTAATAATTTGAAAGAGTATCGAACTGAGGCAAATAACATATGTATAACATAAATTATATTATACAAAACATGCTTTCATTAAATAAATGGTTTACAAGTAGTTTAAAGTGATTTGTGTGGATGGCTCACCCTGTATATTAAAATGAAGAAAATAAATCGATTAATACAAGTAAAACAAATTTTTAATATACCTATAAGATCCAACAGTGTTCATACATCGCATCGTCCTGCCACAAATACTTGAATCTTTTTGACATTCGTTTATATCAATGCATTTCCCTCCAGAGCCAGTTTCAAATCCACGTGGACAATTAAATATTTTCTCAGTAGTTAATGGAGTAGAAATAATAGATCTGAATGTAGATGTTGATTTGGTAGTTGTGGCTGTCAGTGACATTGTCGTGTCGACACGAGCTTGTGGAACCGGTACACGTGGATTACGATAGCATCTAAAAGAGCCAAGCGTATTCCTGCACTGATAACCTGATCTACAATCGTGTAAACCGAGCAGACATTCGTCGTCATCTTCGCAGATTCCAGTGGCTGCATTCAGAGTATATCCAGTACCACACGATAGATAACGAGTGCAAGTGTAACTGCCTATAGTATTATCGCATCTTTGACCTTGCAAACAAATATCTTCCTGAAACAAAGATTTATATCTGTTATATTTAAATGTGATTTCAATCAAATTTATTTCACATTACAATGATAATTATATCATATTATTAATGATGATAACAATTATTTTTATTAGCTCCAATTTTATAATATATCCCATTACTATTAATAATGCATCAGAAATACAAAAATATAGAGCTCAAGCTTTCTGATACTATTTTTTAAGATTTTTCTAAATCTTCTAAATATTTATTTTCTAAATATGATTACATGTATATATATCTATTATAATTTCATAATTATAATGTATATATTTATTATAATTTTTATTATACATATATGTAGAATAGCAAGAAAATGTTATCGAACTTATTTTGTTTTGAAAAACATAGAATAATTAAAATATGTAAATATTTCCTAATAATCAGGTAAGTAATTTATAAAATATATAGCAAATATATCCTGGCTCTATCATCATAATAATTTTTTGTATTAAGTACGTATTATATAGAAAATTTTAGCTCTTGAATTGTCAGAATATGTTTCAAATTTAAATTTAAATTTTTCCGAGTTTGGGTAATTTGGGTAACCGAAAATTAATTTAAAAAATATTCTATTCTGATCAAGATCAGTTATAATAATTATGTGAAATCAGTTATCAATAAAGTGATGTTTGCAAGTAAACATGAAAATATCAAAAGCATGTCTGCAAGATTTGTAAAAAAATATAACTTTTTGATATATAAATTGATTATTTTTTATAAAAAAAAAATTAGTTTGAAAAGCGAATAATTGGATATTAAATCGTATAATGTAATAATAAAATGTAATTGGAATAAATAAATATTGAAATAAATATTAACATTAAAAAGATAAGTTTAAAAAGAACTTTATAGTAGACCTGTAATCTTCTAGTGTTTAAAGTAAAAATTGTAAATAAAATCTTTTATAAAACTAATTAATATCATTAACATTGTAACTATTTAATACATCATCGAAAATATATACCCGTGTTTGACATTCGTTAATATCCACGCAGGCTTGAGTTAAATTCTCACGTCTAAAACCAATTTTGCATTTGCATGTGTAGCTTCCTATAGTGTTCATGCACTCCTCGTTGCTGCTACACGCATCGTCTATTTCCCGGCATTCATTGATGTCGATGCAATAATTTTTAACGAGCTTTAATCCAGAGGCACACTTTTTGTTTGGAAGTGTTGGTAAAGGTGTCGTAGGTGGGTTCCTAGTTTTCGGTTTTGGGGGTGTTGCGCAACTATAACCACCTGGCTGATTATAACAAACTTCACCTTCACAAGAATCCAAACCTTCCGCGCATTCGTCGATATCTATGAAATATATATAAATATATATATAATTTATCATATAATAGTTTATTTCTCATAAGTAATTTGTTCAAAAGATTCAAAATTTATTATAACATGTTCAATAATGATATCATGACAAAAATTTGGTGATTATAAATTGATAACTTGAGATGATTAATGTTTTACTGCTCAAGTGAGAAAATAAATTTTTAATAATAATGATTATCTGAGATAAAGTAATTGCAAGTAAACGATTGCTTACATGCAAATATATTGTTAAATACAGACAATAGACAATAGTTAAAAATCAGTTTTGCAAAAAGACTAATGAATAATCATTATAATGCATATTCTCATTCCACTTTTAATAAAAAATTTGAAAAGTTGATATTAAATTATGAATAAATGAAATTAAATTAAAATAATTGTATCGCAATATTATAATATTTACACATATAAGCAATAACAAAACATGTTGGAAATTAATTTATATTATAGTACAATAATAATATACATATTATTATAGTAATAATAATGTAGCTTAAACAGTGCAGTATGCTTTACATGTCACATGCAACAAGCAAACATAAATGCTGTCTTAAAATATTTCACAATATAATAAAGTTTACATGTTTAACTTAAAACACTCCAATTTTTTTCAATTTTCACCCTGAAAAAAATTATAAATTATTATAAATTAATTTGTATATTTATAAATTAAGATGAGAAATGTATAAAAATTAGATTAATTAGATTAATCAGATTAATCTATAAATGTATAAAAATTAAGTAGAAATTTGATTAAGTAGATTAAG